ATATAGATATACGTATATATATATATATTTTTTTTAAGATACAGTTTGCATGTTTGTGGCATAAGGAAACTTTTTTCACAGGATGGCTGCACGCTGCTTGTGGGATGCAGATACAGACAGCTTTGCTCAAGATATATTTATGAATGTAAGTGAGGAATCGTTTTTACCTTAAAGTGATTTTGAAATGTGATTTTCATCTCTTTATTATTTTCATGTTCTTTTTATGATAGGACAGCTTGTTCTGTGTGGCTGCTGCGTTTGGTGTGTATTATTACTGAAGACGCAGGAGATGTGCTGAGGACCAAACATTTGTAGTTGATTTTACAGTATTTTTTTTTGTTTGTCTGAATACCTCGCTGTATGGTTTTTTCCTACATTACTGTCTTTGTCAAAATTTTGTTAACAATGCTGAAAATGTTAGATTTTAAATAAATATTTATATAAAATACATACATTTTTTGTCACTATCATTCTGTATTGGTCAAGCATTTATATATAATATTTTCTCTTCACACATATTAATTTGATATGATTGATTGTGATATTTTGTTATATTAATAAAAATTCTAAAAATTACAATTATATTATTTAATATGAACTATATTATTATCATTTAACAAATTATTATAATAGCTTTAACATGCACTTGCATGGATATAAATGCCGCATTAATGAAAATATTGACATTATATTTATTAAATGTGTAAGGGGACCCCGTACTGATCGTCTGTGGGACTTACAAGAGCCAGTTTATCCACTTTCACCCTGGAATCTAAGGATATGGTGAATTACTTTAAAACCAATTGACTTTCTCAACATTGTAGAATGGATTTCTAAATGACCTTTGACCCGGCAAGGATTATTATTGTGTTTTGTTGTTATGCACATCAGGAAAATCAGCTGTTGCATTTTCAGGAAATTTTCAGTGGGAATTTCTTCTTTTCCTCAGCGTAATCTAAAAATTGGGATGTCATTTCTCCATTTCAGTCACCGTTGATGAGATATAATTGTGTGATGAGAGACTGGTGTCCTTTTCCCTGCCCATCGGTCATTGGCCATTTGTTTTGCAGCTGTCTGTTGCTGAATAGCAGTCAGTGTGATCGCTGGACTGACAGTGATGGACTAGCATAGAAAGCCCACAGGTGTGAAAATAACTACAGATGCAAACAGATCATACTGTCACAAACAAATCGGGCTGTGTTATTAATTGTCAAAGCCAGTAAAAAAACAAAAAAACAAAACTAGAAGTAAAATAAGAAAAAAGAAGCATAAAATAAAATAATAAAATAAAATAAAGTTAATAAGTTAATACGCAAGCAGCGTACGCTCTTCTGTGTCAGCCACGCTGCGCGGATGCGCTGTTTTCATTCAAATCAAAGCGTAAATACACGTAGCAAACGTATCCTTGTGTCGCGGCTGACACAGAAGAGTGTACGCTGCTTGCGTTCAGCTCATATTCTCTAAAATGCCGCTGCGGTGATGCGGAGAGACAGAGGAGACGAATTGTTGAATAAAGTCGTTATTTTTGTTTTCTTCGCGTACAAAAAGTATTCTCACTATTTTGACGATGTCTTTCATACTTTTCTGGACCTTGACAGTGTAAGTTACTTGGCAGTCAATGGGACAGTCACAAGCCTCCTGGTTTTCATCCAAAATATCTTAAATTGTGTTCCGAAGACTAACAAAGCTTTTACGGGTTTGGAACGACATGGGGGTAAGTGATTAATGACTAAATTTTCATTTTGGGGTGGAGTATCCCTTTAAGACAGTCTTGAGTATGATACAGTTGTAAGAGAGGGACTATACATTCAGGTAATGCAAATCCCGGTTACCCATTTATTAGTGTGTGGAAAATAAAATGATTTCTCCTATAGATTTGGCATGCTGAGGAGATGTATGATATCTTGCCATGGTGACTGAGATTTGTTTGTCCCTCAATAAACCATGCCCTCCATAAATAAAGAGCCGCCAATTGTATCTATGATGGGAAACAATATAAATATCTTTTTTTAAATAAAAATGGCATCAAAGGCTTTGATCAGTCTATCTGATCAGAGCTCATGCACTAAGATTAAAGTGACTCTCAATTAGTAATAACCTTCTGAAACACAATTATTATTCATGTAGGAGTACAGGATATTGCTTTGTGGCTTTTTGCATCTCTTCAATGAAATTCTCAGGGACAAAATAACCTATATTTCTGGCTTCCCAAACTCCATTTATCTTACCTGAGTGAACTGTGCCATTATCCATCTTCCCTTTATATCCTGACTTTCACCACTTTTATACATTTCATAAAGAAGGACGCTGCCAGCACATTTATGTTATTTATAGATGTGTTTGTGTTACTGTAGATTTCAGCAAATGGTTTGAAAACATTCTGCTGTGGTCTGCAGACCAATCCTTTTTATTTACACAGCTTGTCACAAGAAGAGATAGCTGTATATTTCAGTTTAGTTTCACAGTCAGAAATATAATACACTATTGGACATTAGACATTAAATATAAAACATTTCATCACAAAATAAAGCTTTTTTTCTGGTTTATTGTCTATGAACATTCCATGTAAATTTATATAATTGTTGAATGCAATTCTTTTTATACACTGATTTGGATCATGTAAGTCATCTCCGTATGACTGGTTGTGATTTCAAAGCAAACATTTTCATTCTTAGTAATAATGTGCACTGATAAATCATGGAAAATAAGACCAAATAATGTAGAAAGTTAATAGGGCCACTTTTGACTCACAAAACATATAAAAAAAAAATAGTAGCAAATGTTTTCATATGGAATTACTAAAGGATCTATGGTTTGCATTGACATTTTCCATATGTCATGTGCGCATGGTTCATGTCTGCAGTATATGCCCTAAGCCTTTAGTATGAATTAGCCTTCTGTCTTATTCCTCTTTCTGTAAGCCTGCAAGAAAATGTAAATTGTTCTCTGTATCTAATGTCAAATGTCATATTTTAGGTCATGCAGTTGCACAGCAAATACGCCAAATGAATTATTTATACATCTTGCACAATAGAGCCCAAAATACAGGTAGCCTAATATTCATCTGTGAATTCACAAAGTTGCGCCACTTTATTCACTAAACACCCGAATTTCAAATAACACAAACATCATGTGGAAATGAACGGTCTAAGCAGGATCAATTAATTTTTATCTTATTTTCAGATATTTTATTATCAAATTTCACTATAAAGCTTTATACAGCAGTTATCCTTAAATCCGGTCCTCGACTGATTGCTCGTGTGGAGTTCTGAGTGTCAGTTCACTGGATTTTCAGACGGATTGTCTTTTTCAAATATAATTCTCTGACTGTCTGTGTATTAGTGATGGGGATTTTCAATGACTCTTTCTCAAGTTACATCATACACCAGCAGGTGGTGGCAAGTGACTAGTCTTTTGAGTGAGTTGTTCATTCATTTAACCGATTCGTTCAAAGCGCTCATTCATTCTGCAATGAAATAAGTGTCACATTTCTGTCATGACAACTCTCGGAGAGTTTAGCATGCAGTAAACATGGCAATGTTAATGTGTTTGGTCTTGGCGGAAAAGATCTGCTACGCTGCTGCGACAGAACAAGTACTGAGACTTGCTACTGCCAATTCATCCACAGACACGCTGCTGTGAGCATGTAAGAAATACTGCTGCTGCATATATAACATATATGAGATAACCCCCATATATAACACACATGAAATCACCCCGTAGCAGATCTACACAGGTGGAGCTGGGGAGGTGGAGGGTTTCTGAAGCGCGCTGCAACTGCTACAGCAAGCACTAGCCAAGTATTTGAATGCTGAGCAGCAAACTCATTGGCTGCAGATGCAACAAAACCAGTCGGCTGCACTGTATGAATAATGATGTCATTATATCAGATTGAGTTAGAACCTATTGGCCTGCGCCCTTTAGTTTCATCACAGAACTTTGTATTTATGAATGATTCATTGAATTATTCACTTAACCACTTCATTCAGTAACACATGTTCATTCAGTAATGGCGCAGCAGTTCTACTGCTGCTTTGTTTGGAACTATTTGCATTGTCGTAGAAGACAAGGTAGCTGCCAACACAAGTGGCTTAATATTAACTTCATGCTTATGAAACTTTACAGTCATGCTTTTTCTTAAAAACCTGCAAAATTATGATACTGTACAGTACATGTGATCACTGTCGTTATTCAGAAATTATTACAGAACTCATGCTCATATAATATCCTGTTGCTTAAATTTATGGTTACTTTTGGATCTTTTCTAAAGCTTAGTTAAGTTCTTTTCTTAGGAAAAGCTGGTCTTATTTTCCTGGCATTCATCCACATCATAATCTTCTCCTTCAGTAGTTACCGTGCCGTTGCAAGGTGGGACTTCACTCAGGGTGCTGCGCACAGTAACCCTCGTCATGCTCAAAGAGCGTTTCCTTGGGACAGGATGACATTTGTGGTGGCACATCACCTCTTTAAACATCTCCCTGAAGCGGGTGGACATGAGGTTGTAGAGAATCGGATTAATGGCTGAGCTCAGATAGAAGAAGACCCCAGAGATGACATGAACATATTCATAGACCTGGAAAATCTTCATGTGCTCACTGCTCTTCTGGTCCATGAAACTCCACATGAGTCGATCGGTGTGGAACGGAGCCCAACAGATACCAAACATGACCACTAGTACAACTGAGGAGAAAATACTGTGTTACATATAACTTATGCCCAAATTTAATATGTTTAACCCAAAATATTAAGTCAAAATTCCTGTTTTTTTTTCTTTGTGAACATTGCCCTATTAAAAATGATCGAGTGTTTCAAAGCGTAAAGTCTCTAAAGTGTACTGTATATGTTTTGCCTTGTATTTATCTGTCATTGATTACGTAGATAAATAGGGGGAAAACAAATATGAATTGTCACTCACTTTGAAGAGTGCTGACACATCCAATTTAATGTTAATAACAGCCAAAATTGCATATGACTAAGAGTGCTTGAAGGAAGGTGATTATTTTTCACATTATTTACCCAAACCAAATTGTAACTCAAATAAAATGTTATCCTACTGCTAGCCAATATTACGTTCCAGCTACAGTTTTATTTTTTATTTTCTATAATGACTTAAATCTAGGTCATCTTATGGCTTTGGAAGACTTTTAATATAGTGCACAAAACATTTGGAGTACTTAAGATTTTATTTAAATTATGTATATTTTGTTTTTTTGAGTTTGACAGCCTCTATATAGGCCTATCGACTGTGTGGAAAACAGCATCTTTTTATGCCAAAAAAACAAAAAACTTGCGAAAGATTAGGACGTGCCGAAAGGTAGGGGGTGTGAATAAAGGTCTTGCTAATTGATTAGGGTTAGGGTTAAGGTTAAGGTTAGGGGTTAGTTTCTGTTGTAGTATTCTTCTTTCGGCACGCCACCTTTTGCCACGCTTATTACTCAGACCTGCAGCTACCCCTGTCTCACTTAAGTGAGCATGCCAGCTTTTTTTAAAGGAACAGTTCATTCAAAAATGAGTCTTGTCATCATTTACTCTAACTTCTATGTTTTGAACGCTGTAAATATACATAAAATGCAAAATGAATGTGCATTTTAAAGCAATTAATCATCCAGAGCTGATGTTCTGCAGTCCTTGGAGGGGTTGGTGTCATCTATTCAAAGGTTGAATAATAGAAAAACGCATGGTCCCTAAGATAGCACAGGTACGTCTGCCAGATGTCTGTTAAAGATCGCTTCATCTGGAAACCATCTGCTGTGTACAAACATCTGATAGACGTCTTTAAGATGTCAGTTTTACATGCACTCATCATAAACATCTTAAAGACATCTTCTAAATGTCTATTTGCCATCTGATAGGAAACGTCCTATAGATGCACTGCAGATGAGCAAACACTCTAAAAAATACAGTCTTGCAGACGTTAATGCAGACGACAAATAGATGACTCCGTACGTGTGCTATCAGGGTGATTAAATAATACCGTAATAACATTGTATGTGCCTTTACATCATTAATGCCCAATTTCGCTGATATTTTAGTGTTATTTGCATTTAAAAATAATTTTTTATTCTTTTATTCTCAAAACAGCCACAAAAGCAACACGGGTCATTAAAAAACATGAAAAAAACAGAAAAATCTCACGATTCCTAAGTTAAGCATTAATAAGAAGCTGCATACGCGGAAGCGTCACGTTTTTTAAGGTATAACGGATAGTGTCAATAAGAAGCTGCGAATAAGAAGCTGTATTCAGCCTTGTTTCTCTTTACTAGCTTTAGTGCGAAATAAAAACTTGGATGAACATCAAAAACGCATCACAACAATATGTGACTATTTTACGTTTTGGCCAATCAGTGGCGAATTCGAACGATCTGATTCGTATGTTTTAGAACTAATTCATATTGAAAATGTGTCAAATACTTAGGCTACTTCCAAATACAGTGCCAATTACTGAAATGTATAACCTCTCGTGTAATCGCACAGTGTGCTGCGGGGAAGACTTCAATAAAACAGCTTGAACTGTAAACATGTCAACAATGGTTTGGAGTATAAACCTAATAATTATATCATTAGAATGCAGTCTATTCAGTGCATAAAACTCAAGATGTGTTCAAAACGACTCAAGTGATGAAGCAGGACACATATGTTAAGAATATGCTTGAAGTGTAATATGATTTAAAGGGACAGTTCACACAAAAATGAAAATTACCAAATAATTTACTTACCCTCAAGCCATCCTAGGTGTATATGACTTTCTTCTTTCAGACGAATACAATTGATAGTTTTCACGTGACGTCACACCCTTACAGGAACGCCCACCTGGAGGGCAAAACGAAGCTTTGCTCCACTGACCGCCAGTTATTTTTACGCAGTTTGCATTAAGTAGTAATGTAGTAAAACGCAGATATTAAAAGGCGAAATTCAGTAAACATATTATTGATTATGTATATTTTGTACAGGCAAGCAGATGAAGCCAGAATATAAACGCAATGTGCAAAGTTTCACGTTAAATGGTTTCCCATAGAAAGATATTAGAAGGAAAACACTGAACCATTAAGCGGATTACGTTCATTCCGGCCTCATCTGCTTGCCTATGTAAACTATGCATAATAAATATAGAGAATATTACGGTTTCAAATATATTAAGGCACTTTAAGTGTTTTAACAATGTTTTGTCGCACTGTTTAAAATGTTTGCAAATGGCCAAAACTTGCATTTTGTTCACATACCTTTGTTTTATTCTTTTAAGAGGTGATCTAAATATTTGCGGCTGTGAAATAGATGGAAAATTGACAGGTTTGTCCTGCAGTTCTATGGATGTTTTGCCCTCCAGGTCTTCGAGCCGGTTATGTGACTGAAAGCTATGAATCGGAGTTGTATTAAAAAATGTCCTGGCTCTTCCAAGCTTTATAATGGCAGTGAATGGGTGTTATTTTTCAATAGTCCAATAAACTGCTTCCATCCATCATATAAAGTGCTCCAACGGCTCCGGGGGGTTAACAAAGGCCTCCTGAAGTGAATCGATGCGTTTTTGTAAGAAAAATATCCATATTTAAAACTTTATAAACTGTAATCTCAAGCTTCCGCTAACTGTCGTACTCGCGTTCACGAGAGAGTGTCGTTCCAGTGGATGGCGTAGGACGCAGGCGTAGCGTAAGTCTCGTGAGAACCATGTTTTGTTTACAGTAAAGAAAACCAGTCTCCTCTTGGCTTATATCGAAATCCTCCAACATTTTTCTTTACAAATCCTCGTTTTGTATTTCTAATTGTTATTTATTTCGGTGTTTTGTTTTGCTCTCTCCTCTGCGCTTCCACGTTCGTCACTTCTCACCGGAGCTTACGCTTCGCCTACATCCTACATCATCCGCTGGAACGCCATTCTCTAGTGAACGCGAGTACAACAGTTAGCGTAAGCTAGAGATTAAGGTTGATACATTTTTAAATATGGATAATTTTCTTACACAAATGCATCAATTCTTTTCAGGAGGCCTTTATTAACCCCCCAGGAGCTGTGTGGAGCACTTTTTTTATGACGGATGGACGCAGTTTATTGGACTATTGAATATCACCCATTCACTGCCATTATAAAGCTAGGAAGAGCAAGGATATTTTTTAATATAACTCTGATTGTATTCATACACCCCTAGGTCTAAGAAAGTCATACACCCCTAGGATGGCTTGAGGGTGAGTAAGTCATGGGGTAACTATCCCTTTAACACAGCCGTGGCACCGTCATACATGAGAATTCAATTATTGGCCAGCTGGCCTACTTACACAACATTTTAGTGACCTGCTGGCGACGGGTTTTCTGCTGCTGACTGCGTACATTAGAAGAGCTGTCTTGTCCCACACTGGCTTTTGCCTCCAGGACCTGCAACATCTTCTCGCGTTTTAGCTGCATGCCGATGAGCAAATACAGCACGCTGATGGTCAACATGGGCAGGAAGAAAAACAGCAGAGTGGTGATTTGGATGATCAGGTTGTACATCCAGCGTGGCTTGACCAGCATGCAGGTGGCGGAAGTGGACATGGCACCTACTCCTTTCCCTTTGGGAAGAGGGAGGGTGAAAATGCCATGGAGGCTGGTGTTGGGAATGGCACACAATACAGACACGCTCCACACGCTCAAGATCACCCGCCTGGCGTGAGTGCGAGTCACTACGTATTTGGCCCTGAGCGGATGAACCACAGCAATGTAGCGCTCCACGCTCAGCGCTGTTACATTCAAGATGGAGGCGAAACACACGGTCTCAAAGAGGAAGGTCTTGAAGTAGCAACCACCTTTGCCAAAAAGGAACGGATAGTTTCTCCACATTTCGTAGAGCTCCAAAGGCATTCCCAGAAGAAGCACCAGCAGGTCCGACACCGCCAGACTGAACAGGTAGAAGTTGGTGGGCGTCCTCATGACCTTGTTGCGAGCAATAACGATGCACGTAAGAATGTTCCCCACCGCTCCCACCAAGAAGATGATCAGGTAGGTGATACACACAGGCAGAAACACCGGGGAACGTCTGGGCCCCAGATATTTCTCCAGATACTCGACTTGGTTGAGGCAAAACTCTTCCATCTCCACCTCACTAAGGTTCAACACAATACTGGTGTTGCACAGCAGGTCTTGGACGCATCTTGATACAGAGGTATTCGTTGAGGAACAGTTGGGTTTGGCAATCATTCTGGACCTAGTGATGGAAGATGAAAGAGTGGGAGACAAAGGATCAAATTTGCTTGACGATCATGGACAAATTAACACATTTGAAAGTGTTTCGAGACAGTTTAGAGTGAGACAGAAGGAACTTGGGAGAATAAATAAGGGACTGTGGGAGATTTCTTATTAAAACTAAAATATTCTCATTTTATCTAATAAAAAATGGGAAGTTGATTTATTCACAGAGCCCATGGGGTAGACGGTAATGGTCACAGTTATTATTGCAAAACTTGACGCCATGAGGTGAATCTGAGGAGGTTTTTGTATTTTCCAATGCACACCTCATGCAAATAGGCAAATAAGACAATTTTTTAAAGCAAGGCCTCAATTTACCCCATTTCCTTCAATAACAGATTTTAAGCCATTTTAATTTGTCCCAAATCATAATGCACTGAAAGTGCATATTTTCCAACTAATATTGCTCAGAATTTAACGTATGGACTAGAAAGTTAAGTAATGATAGATAACTGTGATTATGTTAAACCTATAACAAGTTTTTCTTTTAAATGAAGTAAAACACTATTTTATTTACGATTCAGTACTGCTGTATTTAATTCTCTTTATTAACAAATTGATTTTCATAGGTTTCATTTTTTTACAACATGGATAAACAAAGCAAAAATGCTAACACTTAGGTCTCACTTATTAACATTAGTTAATGTATTAGCTAACATTAACTAACAATGAGCAATACATTTTTACAGCATTTATTAACCTTAATGTGCTTAATAACAATGCTCATAATCATGTTAGTTTACAGTACATTAACTAATTATTAACAGATAAAGCTTTTGATTTTAATAATGTATTAATAAATGTTGAACTTAACATTAACTAAGATTAATAAATACTATTTAAATATTGTTCATGGTAACAAATATAGTTAACAAATCTAAACAAATGAAACTTTATTGTACAGTGTCAAAAAGAAGCCTACTGTATGGCATCTTGTTTCAAAAATATGAAAGCCCTCAAATATAACCCATCTATTGGAAATTAGTAGCTACAGAATTTGAAGTAACAGGACAAAACTAACCAAAAGCAAAAAAGTAAGGGGAAAAAATAATAATAATTATAATTAATAATTTAAAATAATTGATGCATTTAGCAGACACTTTTATCCAAAGCGACTTACAGTGCATTCAGGCTATACATTTTTTACTAGTATGAAAAAAAAGGAAGCAAAGGAAGCTTTTGACTGATTATCCCTTGTGGAAAAGAAGTACACTTTAGCATACCTTTAAACCGCATTTACTTTAACTTTTAAATGTAATATCAAATAACATAGAACAGTGCAAATTATAATCAAGTACTTTTCACATGCTTTAGTGTGGTAGTCAACATCCAGTCAAACAGTCAAAATAGGTGCACTTCTTTAAAGCATGACAGAAGACTAAAACACAATGATTTAAAATGTACTTTAAAGTAAAGCTTTTAATTTGACATTTGTATTAATGTCATTTAAAAGTGTACTTAAGTGTGTTAAGAAATAGTCATGAAAGTGTCTCTCCTTAAGTTTATTTCAGTGGACTTTTATTTAATTAACATTATGTTATCTGCAAATACAGTTTTACAAAATATATATGATTTTAAATACACTACAAGTGCACATTCAGTATAATTAAGCACACTTCTTTTTCTCAAGGGTATATAAACATTGTAAGAACTACAGCATGTGTTACACAGAGGTTCACACAATGCTCTGTTTTGTTTTTCCCCAAGCGCTTGCATGAATCAAGAGGAAATTATGTATGCTTTGTGTTTTTTTAGCATAATTATATGAGAGATCAACAAGTGTGTCAGATATTTTAAAACAGCCCTTGTTGAACACAGTGCCGTGAAACAGTCAGACTGCGAACAGATCATTCAGTCTGAAACCTATACTTTATAAATGTATTCCCTGGAGCATTTCATTAAGGAAACCACCCAAATCAGTTTCAATTCCAATCTGCCTCTAATATCTGACAAGACAGCAATAAAGCAATAATAAAAAGTCTTTGAATTGAAAACTCTTACCTTATAGTTTGGCACCATGCACAATCCAGTATGTTAAAACATCAGTGACGTTAAAAATAAAGCTGAAGGTTCAGAAGGTTCTCATCAGAAGCCCTGAGCTGATAGTCATAATGTAAAAATGCTATTCTAGTCTGGTATATAAGATAATAAGCCCATCACACAAGGAGTGTTTCCTTGGTTATACAGAGAGACACAGTTACGCTTTTTCTGTCTCCCTCTCTCTCTCTCGTTGTCCTTTTTCTGTATGTCATTGCAAGTCTTGTTTAACCCTATACAAGCATGAGCATTGTGCTTTGTCCCTTTTCATCTTTACTCCAACACAGTGATTTAGCACAAAATAAACTAATTTCATTTGCGCTATTGTACTGTCAGCAGTTCTACGTTAAATTGAGCTGGATTACTGAATAGAATTTAGCTAGCTAATTAAATCGAGGGCCTTCGTCGCAATGCAGCATACCTTTGGTTTCCATGATGGTGATGATTCTCAAAGCTAATGAGCACCTGCCATTGTTTCCTTTATTCTCGTAGCGGAAATCCGATCCTTCTTAATTATTCCAGCCATCTGATTCAGCCGAGCTTATTCAAATCAAATGCAAACTCAGCTTGTGCGTAAAAGGGAACGTTCAAACAAATACAGAAATTCTTTCATTATTTACTCACCCTCATGTCGTTCCAAACCTTATTTCTTTTCTGTGGATTATAAAAGAGTATTTTTAAGACAGTTTTTGTCCATGTTATGAAAGTCGCTGATGTCCCTTCCTGACTCAATGACTTAATTGACTTAATGACCAAGGGGCCGTTCACACAGAATGCATTTTTGCATTGCACTGCATTGCTTTTCAATTGTTTTTCTTATTTAAATATGTGCTAGGCGCATGTGTTTGTCCACTGTTTGTTTCACGTTGTTTTATTTTTGTCTTGCTCATGACACAGCATTCAAAAAAACAAGGTGCTCAAGTTAGAATTGGTTTAACTTAAAAAAAAAAAAAACGCTTCTGGAGACCTTACACATTTTTACTTTCACTGAGCTGGTTCACACCAGTGTTAATTTCGTTGACGAATAATTTTCGCCATAATTTTCGTCAACAAAATTTTTTTCACCGACGACAACGAGACGATAACGAGCTAAAACTATTTTTGAATGACAAAAACTATGACGTAAATCTATTGACATTTTCGTCAACGAATAAAAACGAGACGAAAATATTAGGGAGGGACGATTTGGGAAGAGATTCATTCAGAACGAATCTGCTGCGTGGTTCGGAGGTTAGATGCGTACATATGAACCGGCGGGACATAAGCTAAAATACACTTGGTTGCTGCATGTCGCATAAAACGTTCAAAAATGTCAATATGGGGGAGTAAGAGAAGAGCAGACATATGGATAAATCTGATGACGCAAAAAGAGCTCAATTCGGTCCGGTTTTCAGAGCGCAGACACTGAAGCATAACGTTACACACACAGAAAGCGCGTCTCACAGCGCTCGAGTAATTACACACAAAATTATGTCGAATTGTCCGTTTTGACGAGTATTCACATAAACACAGTTGACTACGTCTTAAGTGAACGTAAACAGTTGGGAGAACGTGAATATCAGTACATTGCATCCATTGCAGCCGTGCATTCGGTTTTAAAGGGACAGCAGCCTAATTTAGTTGCTATTGTCCGAGTCATTGATGTTAATCAAGCAACAAAAGAAACACAGAAAATCACGCACTGCTCTTGACTGAAAAACTTTAGTAGCCCTAAAGATTAATCTAAATTTATTTATATAAATAAATATGTCTGCTTGAAAGAATGAAGAATATGGTAAACAAGTTGCTATAAAGAATGCATAATTAGCCTATATAACCATTGGTATTTCATTAAAAAAGAAGACCATGTTCTTGTTCTTTATGAGAAGTGGTTTTATTTAATTTTAACATAAAGGCATGTTGTGTGTTACCGCAGTTAAATCGGTGTCTATCATGATAAAACCCTAATATCAAAACTATATAATGAGTTTGGACATTTTAGAGAAATGCTTAATAAATGCACTGTAACTAAACCCATTAGATTTTATCCGACTAAATTTACTGTAGATATATTCGACTAAAATCTTATGATATTTAGTCGACTAAAACTAAAAACAATTCAGATGACTAAAATATGACTAAAACTAAATGGCATTTTAGTGTTAAGACTATGACTAAAACGAAAAAAAAATTTGCTGTCAAAATTAACACTGGTTCACACAGGGAACAGGGAAAAATACACAAGTAGAAATTTTAATTGTTCAAGCGCCACAATTAGGGGTTATTCACAAGTGTTTTTGCAATTAAAAGTGAGATGCAGGGCATTGCATTTTTCTTTTAAAGATTGAACTACTTTTAACCTAGTTTTTAAAAATACAATACGTTGCAAAAGAGACGTGAGCACAAACACGCTTATCTAGCCTAGCGGATATTTACATAGAAAAGTAATCGACTAAAACTAAAAACAATTCAGATGACTAAAATATGACTAAAACTAAATGGCATTTTAGTGTTAAGACTATGACTAAAACGAAAAAAAAATTTGCTGTCAAAATTAACACTGGTTCACACAGGGAACAGGGAAAAATACACAAGTAGAAATTTTAATTGTTCAAGCGCCACAATTAGGGGTTATTCACAAGTGTTTTTGCAATTAAAAGTGAGATGCAGGGCATTGCATTTTTCTTTTAAAGATTGAACTACTTTTAACCTAGTTTTTAAAAATATAATACGTTGCAAAAGAGACGTGAGCACAAACACGCTTATCTAGCCTAGCGGATATTTACATAGAAAAGTAGCACTCTGGAATGCAAAAACGCATTTTTTGTGAATGGCCCCTAACTGAGACAATTACAATGTTCTCTGTCCCCTTACTTGGAGATAATGCAAATGTGTGAGAATCTAAAAGTGCCCCTAATAGCCTCTATTACTCATTTAGAGTAT